ATATGGCTGATTATATAGTACAGCGGGGCCATAGTGGGATTCGCAACCGTTGCAAGTCGTGACGCGTGGTGGTCTAATAATGGTGGCGGTCATGCGTCATGGTCATATGAAACGAAGTTAGTTTATTAAATTATTAAGTTTAGGGGTCGGTTGTCTTTGGTTTTATAATTTTAACTTACTACCTACCTACCCAACATTATGCCTGGCCTTGCTTTCCTCTCCTCTACCAACATTAAATGATGTGTGCTCTCATGGCACAGCACTGACATCAGTGGCATAATGGCATTCAGTGCCATGTGGGAGCTAGTCAATACTCAATAGAAGACCAGACTGCTGACTGTAAATGTCTTTTCAGAGTCATCCCGTAGACCCGTACCAACTTCAATCTAGTCACTCTGAAAATATGGAGCAAAATTTTCTTTAATAATTTCCATGAAGAAACTTTATCCTATTTACTTGTATCATGTACTTATTTCCATCAAAATTTCTGTATTCAATGCTTCCTGTAACTTGAAAATTAATGTTGTTACATTCGAAATGTCGTTAATAAATTGATATTACTCCCTTGAACCTGTATTTTGATCAACTAATGTCATCTGAAGAATATTGTTCGAACCTGGAAATTTAAATTGATGAATTTTCTGGCCATTAACCACCTGTGGCGGTGTTGAAATATACATATATGTATATATACATATATGTATGATATATATATACTCATATATATGCAATGTTTGTGTGACATTCAATTTGATTTTTTAAGTAGACAATTGAGGCATGTATATTATTGTCAACATTAGGCAATAGTGCCTGAAATAGTGCATTATCACAATACTGGTACACTATTAGTATAGGCACCTGGTTAGTAATAAATAATAACTGTATAGGTTAGATAGCCTCAGTCGCAATAGGAAGTGCAGACACATGGCAAGTGACGTCAATTGTTACACGACAGTGGATCATTTAAATGATATCTCAAACAATCAAAGAATACCAACACACCTAATGAATTCTAGTTTATCATTGCAAATTTTATGTTGCATACAATGGTGTCTCCATGTTTTGAAAGGTCAATAGGTATTTAGGCTTTAACTTAACAGGTTACAATAACTAGTAGAAAATTAGAAATAACCTCAATTTGAAAAGGCAATATATGACTATACTAAATTGACCAGATTTCATCCTGATTATAGAAATGGTTCTTATTGAAAAATGTATGACATCTGAACCTTAAATATACTATATTAATTTTAAATTTCAATTTTATTATAAGTTTAATTTAAATGGCAAAAAGGAAATTCTTTCTAGTTTATTGTAGTTTTTACTGAATTAAGATATATTTATCTTTACTTTGTATGATTAAATTATTAGAGAGGTTCAATTTGAGGCATATTTAAAATGAAAATAGTTGAATGTGACCGATAGCCATATTCTTGATGAAGGAATTTTATAATTAGTGACAAAACAGTACGAAAGCCCAGATTTTTTGAGGTTGCTAAAGGTGAGCAACATATACCTATACAGTTGTTAATTAAGGTATTTATTAACATGAATAGTTATATAATAATGGCCATTTGCACCTACAATGCCATCTTTATGGGGAATGTGCTAGATGTAATGAAATCAGTACCTAGTTAATTATAGTCACTCCTAGTACTTGACTGTTTAGTTTTGAGACATGCATGAGGTTAGAAAATTCTTTGGTCAGCAATGCAGGTCATGGAGGTTTGTCCAAAATGCTCAGTCAGTGCACCTCTAAGAATTCTGAAATATATTACTCAGTTAACTAGAGGTATATTTATTTCATTAGTTATTTCCATGAGAGCCCAAGTAAATATAAATGGGAATAACTGGGATAAAGATATGTTATGTTTTTAATAAGTTTACTTTCTTTTGAACAATTCATAAGAACTCTTTTTCAGGATAAGAACTCCTCTTCCTAACCTCTCAGCCTCCACATACTCACAAAATATCCTTTTTCACTCCCAATAATTCTCATAGTACAGTAATGACTTTTAGCAAACTAACAATCGGTTTCATTTGCCACCAGTTTTTTTATAGCTCATGCCATTACTGTCAACCCTCGCATTCTGTAGCACCTCCAGTATAACACTTTTCTCTCATATGCTCCATTTCCAGCCCTGGATAACATATGGGTTACTTTGCACCACATCACACAGAAAACGCCTGTTCTCTCCTTCCATTTCCTTTTTACCTGTATGTTCATCCATCCCCAGGTACCAATCTTTAACACATTACAGTTTGCTCCCAACTTCTGCTACCATCTTCCACACATTCATATTTTTGCATTAGTTTCACTACCATGAGTAGATAGCAGTGGCAGCAATACTGATGAGTGAGGATGAAGGTCAGTGCAATTTTTTATGCAAAAATGCAGCACAATATTATTTCAGTAATTTTGTTTCATATCTATACCAAAACCTACTAATATATATACTGTCAAAATAAAAAACCTTTAGTGCATCTCTATTTATCAGGCTGTGGTTCATATACAGAGAATATGTCCTAGATGTAAACTTATAGTGAAAACCATGCCCTGTATTAGCACTATGTTTCTTTCAATGGTTGGTACCTCCAGCTTATTAGCTTCTTACTCTAAACATTCTTATGCTTTAAATCTAAAATATTTTGATATGGAATACATGTTGAGTAAAATATTACAGCACTAATGAGATTGACCATTGAGACTATCATTTGGATGCCATTCTCATGAACTATTTCCACCTCACTTCTGCACTCTGAAATAAGATATTGATATAATATGTTCAATAAATTTTAGCTCTAAATTATGAATATGCAATTCACCACTTGAGGTGTTAAAAATATGTTCTGGCAAAAGGATTTAGCCTAGCTTGTATGTGAGTTAATTCAGTAAGTGATTTGATTGTTTGGGAATAATGTTCATGACACTTTGCAAAATTTTTATAAATAAAAAATTGTGATACTCTTGCTGAGCAGTCATGAGTGATCAGCGGCGAAGCTATTCAGAGCTCACATCCCGACAAAAGTTAGACGAAGAGAGGAAGCATTCTCCCTTCAACCTGCTCTCAAGATGCCAAGAAAGTGCTGCATTCTGGACTGTTAGGAGTTTGTTCATGTGCGATGGTGATATGATTGGTGACCAGGGCCTGGGAGGGAGTGGCAAAGTGCATGCACTGAAAGAGTCCATGAATTTTTGTATTGATGGAGTCGTATGTTTCTGCAGTTTTCATGGACCCTATTTCGGGGCCGAGACTATTACAGAGAAAATAGTATTAAAGAGTATTACAGAGAAAAGAGTATTGCCTTTTTGCCTTTTGTCCGCCTATTGCAAATGTCACGCATCCAAGTAGGACCTGAGTTATGCTCGATATCCCCCGCTAGCAGCAACAGAGACGCCGACCACACGTGGGGAGCCGCAGGCCAGCAGCATATAAAACATGGGCTTATAGGGTCCCCCTTTCGGGGGTCGATTTGAGCCCGCATCCGGGCCGCGCTTCAACCGCAAGCAGGCCGACAGTATTGGAAGCTTTTTTTTTGCCCGTCTCCTCCTTGTCCTCTCTTCTGTGCATTTTTCTGTTGTTTTGCTTTTTTTTCAAGTAATAAATAAATATCAGCAAAACAAAAGATTGAATAAAAAAGTAGATTGCAATGTTTATCTGTTCACTTACAGGTGGATTTCGAGGTGGATGCATCATTAAATTTTTAACCCCCTGCATGAAACGCCCTTTGGTACACTGTGGGGCCAGCAATTCCTTTGAACCAATACTCTGTAAGAATTATTTGTAACGTGATCCTCCATTCATGAAATCATCTGTAACTTTAAACAATTGATATTTTAGTTGAGATTATTCTTAAATGTCCAAACTGTTTCCTCAGGAAGTGGAGAAAATCTACTTGGCCGCGGGCAGCACTCGCTGAACGTAACAAATCCCAGTCAAGTACCAGGGGCTAACAGGGCAGACTCACCGTCAGAGGAATCTGTTGATATGGAAGGCAAGATTTGGGTTTCGTTTCTTTTCTTGAAATCGATATATTTTCATGTTTTAATGTTAATGCTGTACAGAAAGGTTTGATAAATTTTTGTTGGCAAGGGCGACTGTTTTACATTGATAATTTAATTCTGCTTTATGTGGAGCTGAAGGCAAAACTTTGAATCCTTTTAAATAAAAACTAGTCTCATTGTTGAAGGCCTAAGTCTGCGGAAGATTTCAGATGTTGCATTATGTGACCCAGGAAAAATTCAAAGTTTTTAGCATGAGTAATACTGAGATGAATGTTTTTGTGTGTATTAGTGCGGTATGATAATGTACTCTTTCACAATGGCTCATCGTTGATTGGCTTAAACGTTATACCTGTGCCTCCAATGCTGAATGCTGTCTAAAGCTATGCTGTCCAAAGCCCAAATCAATCTCTTACAGGGTTTTAATATGATCGTTGAAAAACTATATGAGTTCCATTGATTTTAGAAAGCTGGTTCATTTTTTCTATGCGCAATAATGGAGAAATTATTGTAAATGCAAGGTCTTCATTTCCGCTTTGTTTAAAATTGAAATTTTCTAGGCGAATAATTTTCCTCAACTGCAAGACCACTCATCATCAGAAGTGGGCCGTCCGCAAGGAATAATGAGTACCCTTGCCAAAAGGTTTGTCAATATATATGCTGTATACACTATTAAATATTGCAGAACAGTGGCATAAGCACCTAATTCGACATGTTTGAATCATTTAATAATTTTTGTGCGTTCCAAAAAAATAGTTTGGTTTGAGATTGAAAAGTTTTTCTCTGGCGATTTTTACAAAAGTATGAAACTAACGAAGACATTTCTACAGATCGTGTACTTGCTGTCCTGACCACACGCAGAATATCTTGGCCACTCTCAGTTCCCTGAAGTCCATGTGCACAGATACAAATATGGTGGTCAACGAACTACGTGGTAGGCTTCCTGCCAATGCACAACCTTTGGCTTGGCCTAACCGCTGTCCTGCGTCGACCCTCGAAGAACTGGATGAGTTGATGTCAACTGAGGAGTTGGTGAGTTTAGTTAATATTGCACTGAAAGAGTTGATAAAAAAGCCAAGACAAACTCTAAGGAAATTTGTTGTATGATGCAGTCCAGAGCATTGTCAACTATATTTTTTAAAGTATCTGTTGAAAGCAACGTTGTTACTAACCATTTTCTTTTCGCGCAGGAACGTTAGACTTATTACTACCCTACCACAATTATGCTTGCATATTGTCCATTTCATTTGATATCTTCATAATAGCGTGGGTCTAGGTGGCTTCTGAACCCCGCTGTTTGGTATTGTAAATTTGCCTAGCATAAGAACTCAGTTTTAATGTGCAGTTATGCCAGTTCGAAGTACAGAAACACAACCAAGTTGTTCCTTCTAGATAACATTATCAGTGCATCGAGTATTTACCCAGTGACCTTCGATTCACACTAGATGCAAATGTAACACATTCGTAAATTTTATCGGATTAGATTTAACAATCGATTACTTTCTAAGCTATTGTTATATTATGTTTGAGATGAATTCCGGAGATTTTGGAAATGTACTTATGCGGACCAAACACAACATTCTAAAAGAAAATCTGGAAATTGAGTTACAAGTTATTCACTTTAGTATGTGACTTATATTTCCGGGTTAAAATATTTTCAACATTTATCAGATTGAGAGGCTGGCTGGGGCCGAGCGGTCGTCGCTTCAGGCCACTGTAAGGGGGATGTTGAAGCTTATGATTACCAAGGACGTTGCCCTACGCTTCTCCTTCACCGGAATGGACTGTCGACGTCAAAAAACAAAAGAAAGCTTCAAAAATCACGCAGCATACGAGAGGATAATGGGTAAGCTATAAGATAAGTAATTACTGGAACCATATTGACATATTATGAACATTGCAAAGGTTGCTAATATCTAGAAACATAAGAAACTTGTTGCCCTGCTTTACTATGGTCCATTGAAACTGTGAACTTTCAAAATAACATCTAAGGTTGCTCTTGACGCGCAACCAAAGTTCCCTTTTCTTTCTATGAAAATCACAATTGATTTGGACGCTAAAAGAAGACATCACTTGCGTGGTACGGCCCCCTATGAATTATTGTTTGTGTATTCAAAAATGCACTTTGTGGTTGGCGGATGACGAGCTGTTGGCATATTCGTATCTACGAACCGCGGCTTTCACGAATCGCAGGGTATTTTAATCGTTAATAATCTTAATTGCTAAAACAGCAAGCTCCTGGCACCCCAATTTCTTGAGATCCTGTTGTAGCTCCGGACTATCAAAGATTGACTCGTCCACTAGCGCGACCTGCTTCTAATTCCTTAATATTCCATGCTGGCGCAATCACAAGATCCGCTATATACTTTTTGTATTGACAACATCGTTCACAGATTATTATTAACCCTGCTTCTTTCTTTTCAGTTTATAGTCAACCCAGGCAGTTACTTTCTTTCATATTTTACAGTCGCTCTGAAGCAAACTAGATTCGATAGTGCGAGAAGACCTGAAGTTAACCGAGCTATCATGAATGCGCTCAAAAACGTACCTGACTGGGAAGGAGGGAGAGACCACCGCGTTAGAAGAAGAGTTCCTCTAAGACGGAATGAATCATCTTCAACTTCGACAATCGAAATGCAAGAAAATGCCGAAAATTCTAACCGCATTTCGGCCACTCTAAGACGCTCACCTAGGCAACACAATGCTACTCCCATACACAGTGTTTTTTCTAAAGCCGTCAGGCTCCTTGAACTGTAATCAACTATGGAACTCTGAATATGGAACATTCTTCAATAATACGATAGCGATACAGCCCGTTAAGTAATGAAATTTTCCAAAATGAAATTGACTATATTTTTTGTTTGTCATTAGTTGTGATGCTGTAGAAACGTATTCTTTTGCCATCTATATTTTGTAAATTTTGCGTAATAAAACATAGGCTATATGTGGGAGAATGTAGAATGAGCCATAGGCTATTTTGATGAAACTTTGGGTCCATGCTTCAGGAGGCCTGCATGCTCGTGTTAGTTCATGTAATTTCCAATTCTACAGAAACTCCATTCTTGTGGCTGTACGGGGCTATGCTTTAATGATTATTTTTAAAAATTTATAGTGACGTGAACCTCAAACATGAGTATTATAAATAACTCTGTATTAGTTCCAAAATCCAGCCAAAAGTTTGTTATTTTTAGATAAATCATTTTTAATTCAGCTGGTTCTGAATATATGTATAGCTATTTCAGCGTTTATGAGGCCGTAGGCCTGTCGCCGATTCTCAACATCGCAGAACATTCACAGCATTTTGCGGTCTCGAACTCGCAACTCACTGCTACAATTCTGCTGTGCTTAACCGCCCGGCCTCCTTGCCGATTCTGACCAGAAACTGGCGCACAGAGCTGGGATCAAACCCGCGCCTCTCTGCGCCTATCTTGGTACTCTGAACTGTAACCACTGAGGAAATATTTTGCAGGAGAAATCGTAATGTAAAGCAAAGTGCAGGACCACGATCAAGTTTTACGATCACGATCTACACTAGTTCGCATGCAAAGTTTCATCAAAATCTGTTCAGTATTTGGGGGCATTTCTTGGTGCCGCGAACTGACGCGCCGGGCGCCCGCTTCTCGGGGGCGGCGAGCGCAGGACGAGACGCAAGAACCGAACTCTCACTCAGATAAATGAACAGGTCGCATTGTCCAATTACTGGCCCACTTTCTTGCTCACAGCATGAGCAGAGAGCGGACGTAGCACTGATACGCCCTTTTGCCGGGTCAAACTAAGTTAGGATGACCAACAAATATGCATCTGATTAGAAATAAGAATATAAATTATACATAAAACATATGATTATTAGGAGGTGAGGATTATAGGATGTGTTAGGATGCACGAGGAATACGAAATAGGGGAGGAACGCGGGCCGTCTAGGGAAAAGTCTAGAGCGGGTTGCGCGGTACCGGCGGGACTATTTAAGCCGAACGTTCGGACTGCGGCAAGTTCCTTGTTGGAGGTTGAGTCATCCGGCCGTAGTGGTGGGACCAAACTGATGGTCGGTGCAGTGATCCGAAGACGAATTACGACGGTATAGAGCTTCTCTTTTCTTGGAGCAAACGTCCTGCACGGAAGAGATTTATTTCATCCTCGTATTTATCGCGATACCACATGATTATGCGTCGAGTTAGTGTTTTACCACGTAACTTCATGACAATAACCTGAATACACAAAAAAAATGAATGGAACTATTGGTTTAATCGGTTAATAATGCGATTAAGTCCTTTCTGGTATTAGCTAACTCTATATGTAAAAATTCATGCTATTTGAATGAGCTTTCGGTATCCCTCCTCCTTCCTGTCCCTCCACCCTCCTCCTCTCTTTGCCTCCTCAACGCTTGAATCATTACCACCGGCATAATCAATGTAAGCCGAGGACATTTTACGACACTTGTGTGGAGATTTAATTGTCCTCATTGACCGCCGCTCGATGTCCGGAGAAGCGGAGGCCATGCCGTCCGTAGACTGCTTGGACGCGAGTTCAAGTGGATAAAAAATGCCCAGGTCGACGCGTTTGCGAGGTGCCTGCGGCAAACGGCCGCAATCAAGGAGGGAATTTCGAACTGGTTTATTACCTTCAGTAGAATAAGTGTTTCCAACGATTGAAAAACATCCATTATGTGTTCTAGTCCTAATTTTCTACAGTAACCTAAGCAAGTATGCTTAGTATTTAATTTGAAGCAAGAAAAATTACTTGCAATCTGACGGTTTTGCTGTATTGTCCATCAACCAATTCCTGTCCATTTTTCAACTATCGGCTTGCTTTAGGGTAATGAACGCTAAAAACATTACTCCACACCTGTGCATGGTAAGAGTCGGTCATTACACTCACGTAAGAGAAGTATCACGAGAAGGTTTCCTCATGTGATTGCAAGTTGGCTGTTAATTAGGCAGACAAGCACGAAAGAATTTAATTGACGAGCTAATTGAAACCTTGTATATGTCGTTACGAATGACGTAAAATGGAATAGACCCCTTGACTGCTTGAAGACCTGTTAAAATAAATATTATCATTAACTGTCTGTATTTTAAGTAATAAACAATACAGTATTACGGTAATGCAGAAATTAATTGCACGGATTCATATTCATTTGGCCTAGCGCATTCCTATTTGTTTCTAGGTTCATCATGAAGGAAATGACCGAGAGCTTGAGGCGAACGTGATTTTACCTTCGTAGAATCTAGAATCACAAATCAGAAGTCACAAATTAATACATTGAAAGCACAGAACAAAATTAAAAACCTAAATTTACAAGTAATAGACTGAGCAAAAAAAAGGGCCCAGTTTGAATTCAGTTGCTAGCTCCTATCCCCTTGAAATTGTTAATAGATAGTTTTTTTTGCTCCGTCTATTACCTGTAAATTTAGGTTTTTAATTTTGTTCTGTGCTTTCAATGTATTAATTTGTGACTTCTGATTTGTGATTCTAGATTCTACGAACTGACGATGGAGCTGGTATCCGAAACGTTTTCTATAAAGATATGAATTTTTGTGGACTTTTCTTTGCTTTTAAATTCTTTGTTATTTTGCGATTTAAGCAAACAAGTGATATAAATTCAAAATGAGCGTAGTTGCAGGCGCCAACGCTCATTATCTATCCTGGCCTTATAAGCGCCTGTTATAACGATAAAGAAATGACTGTAATGTGTTCGAACGTGGTCAAATCCATGCCAAATCGTGCTTAGATACGTATAAAAGCAATAGGAGGTCATATCCCTTATTAATTATATCATCTTTTGTACCATTGACGTGTTTTTTGTACATGAAACTAAAATTCAGCCAAAATTTGTCTTCTGCCAAAATTAATTTGCACGGCACTGCAGGATGAAGAGTATGCGGGGGGGGNGGGGGGGGGGGGGGAAGCGAGAAAAGACCCTCCAAATGAAGGGAAAACGATAGGTGTCCAAAAAAGTAGCTCTATAGGCGATGGTCATTTGTAATATAAATATATAGTTATTTTTCCAAAACTATTTGAGTTAAAAATTTCCTAAAGTTCGTTTTTAAGTTTTCTTTAAATGTTATTTTTTCGTTTTTTTCAATAAATTCATACGAACCAATGCGCAAATAAAAGCGTTTTGCAGGCGAGTATAAAATGCCATCAATATCGGAAATTTTTTAACGCTTTTCCTACCCACACGCTCCCATAACTTAAGTGAATTCTGAACTTGCGACCAGGTTTGATATTTCATGTCACATAAATAATGACAACAAAAATCGTGGGAGAGATAGTCTATTTTCGTAGAAATTCCTTAGGCGACAGCAAAGGAAACTACCGGAGTCCCGCAGCCTCCATAGCTCTTCTGGAACTTGAACGAGGCTCGACAAATGATCCAAAGTAGAATGAGTTTTTCAGATGAAATAAATGTTGCAATTTTTGTCTTTTTGGAAAGTTCTTCTTGCCAACTCAATTACTGCTGAGTTACTAACGAATTACTCAGTTGAATTATTGTTGTTTTACTCAGCTGGTAATTACTACTGAATTACCCAACTAAATTAGTTGACGGCAATGAGTCATGATACGTCGCTTCCTCCACTTACACTGAGGCCAGTTAGGGCTCTTCACTTTTGCTTCTTTACTTCATCATAGAGTCTGCTAGTATGATTAAAATATCAATAGTCTAAAATAACAACATTTCCTGAAATATTAAGCTCAGAAGGATCCATTGCTCCTGCTATTGCTCCATCTTCATTCGTTCAGTGTAGCTACCGGCCTTCACCCACATCACCAACGCCCCGCCAACACCTTCCTCATCACCAACGCTCCTCCATCTCCATCATCCAGAGAAAAGCTTCCAAGCTCAGCTGGTGGAATTGATTGGCGATACGAAGGTAGATAATAAGAGAAAGCTTAACACAGGAGCCAATTCAGAGTGTAGAATGTAAAAAGCATGACCCTACGTTCTGTAAAGTGTGAGGTTGCCAACAAACGTTATCATGCCCGGCCTGATAAGCGGCCTCTTGCTTATCATGCAGCGCAGCTCAGGGCGTTTGCATAAAAAAAATTTTCAGATCCCGACAATATCCCGACACGATATGTATCCTGGATACGCGCCCCAACAGCCCATATATATTGCAGTGCCAGGCGTCAAACGCACAAACTCTGACAAATATATATTAAATTTGCAATTTTAATTAACCCTTGCCGTGCGACGCCGAAATTATTCAATTTTTCACTCTGAGACACATTTGCAATACTTTAATTGAAATCTTTATCTCGTGTACCTACAGGCATGGAAGACTTCAGTGAGGAGAACTCCTGGGACGAGTCCTGACCAAAGGCATCAATTCAATTCACGTTCTTTCTTGTATGATTCATTAGTTCATTGGTGTTCTTTCAATTCCCGTTCCTCATAAATTTATTAACTTCTCAAATGAATAAACTAATTTGCTGGCACGCGTTCACGGGACGACCGCGCGTCAGGAGCCTCTTGCTGCGCTATCTCGGATGACGGACACGCGGCGCTGATAACAGCGTGGCGGGGCTTGGCGACTATAAATATATAGCTGCGTTTGTGGTAAGAAATTCAGACGATAACATTTTTCAGGAGTAAATAAATGTTAAAATCTGCTGTTAACAAATTGAAAGTGTGATGATCAAAGTCACTTAATTAACATAGCAGAAATTCTGATCTCTGATACATATTTATTGTGGATAACAAAATCTGTGACGGCAGATAAATCGCCTCGGCGAAGTGAAAAAAAAACAAGCGACAGAGTCTCTCTGGTTTTGCGGCTGAAAAACGTTAGCATTTTCTGGAATAAAATATTAGCACAAAAATGATTGATTGTGGAATGAGGGCTACGGTTGAACTAAGTATTTCAGTTTCGTTTTGCACCAAATTTTGCACTCCAAGGTCATATCACCACTTATCAAACTT